CTTTAACTGAGAGCATGATTTGAAAAGCCCGCGGCAGGAATTTTAAGGTTGAAACCAGGGCGAGTATAGTTCGGAGGTATGCCAACCAGCTTAGGCATCGGACGGTTTGGAGCGTCAAGCTGACGTTCGATCTACTCTAAGATGTCTGAGTTTCTATCTCCTAGCGAGGAGCTCCAGGTGCCGTCACCGGCAATTCAGGAATGTCCGAAGAGGTTACAGCCCATCAAAATACTTGTTTTGGAGATCAAACTTTCAGCAGCGAGAGACGTTACGGAGAACCCCGTATGAATGAGCAAACAAAAGGCGCAGATGACGACACGAGCTACGTGGTCGGGAAACACAGTACGTAATCCAAGTTGCCACTAAGCCGCTAACTCTAGTAGCATATGCAGATAGCCAAACAGGAGATGGACGGCTATTCTGGAAGCCTGCATGCTCCTCATACGCCTGTCGCTGACTAATACGTGCGTGTCGAAGCATGCCCAAGAAAGTTCTTGAAACCAGACCGGGCAATAGAAGACGTCCAAACGAAAGCCAAGGCATAAGTCATGCTTATGCTCTACGAAAGCTTGCCTTCTAAACCGCCTTGACCGTCTCTTTGTGAGCACAACAGCAGAATTTCGGATCTTTTCCTACATCAGTCGTCAAGAGTGCGCGAACAGCAGCTTTGCAGACAATTCAAGCGTGAAATTTATCGGATCGCGCAGCAAGACGTTTTTAGTAGGCATGACGATTGCTTAGAGGTTGACGAGAACAAACATGCAGTTGTCTCTCTAGTTATTTCACCCACCAAGATCCCTGAACACAACTGACTACATCACAACTGTCAAATGTTGAGAATAATCTAAACAGTGCAGGAGGTGAAGAGAAAACGTGCATTAGTTGCTTGGGGATATTGTCCATCTTTAGAGATGAGAAAGGCAATAAATCAAGCAGGTACTCTGAGGTGCCAGCCACGGCGACAGTTGTGAATCTTGCGACTGACCTGCGTGCTTCACCATGAACGCGCAAGAGTTGACAGTAGGGAACCCCGACAAAACTGCTTCGGAAGTTCACAGTGACGAACTCAATAGGAAGCCCCGTTCTTGGCCTCGCAAGAATATTAACTTGTAGCAGCCGCTCCAATCCCCTTTTTCTCCGACTCCGTTTTGTCGAACAGTGGCCGCGATAGCTGTTGACACACGGCCACCGCCGCCGGCTAGAACTCGGACACCTCTGGGCTAGATCGCAGTTGGTAGCCCGGACCGGCATTACAGGTGGCGAGGGGGGTTGTTTACTGGGGTTATTTTGGGGGCCTCTATAGTCACATCGGAAGCATTTGGCTTCCGTTTTACGTTTGAGGTTAGGATTAGGGTACCGGTTGATGGTTTCCGATTGTCCGATTAGGGTTATCCCTTTAGGCTTCGGTTTTCGGGTTATGGTTAGGGTTTGAGCGTACGAATAGGTTCCAGTATTACGGTGAGGCTTCTCAGTTACGGCTATGTCTAAAGGCTACGGTTACGTTTACCATTTCGGCTAGCGTTAGGGTTGCCGTTAGGGTTAACGGTAAACGGTAACGGTTGAGGTTAGAGTTAGGGTTAAGGTTGGGATTAGGGTTAAGGTCGTCGTCCGCTTCCCATTCCGGGCTACCAACTGCGATCTCCCCCACCTCTGGTCCAACTCCAGTGACTGTCGGCTGACCTCACAAACTTTAATCGCCGCACGTGCGTCGAACGCCCTGGTTTGATACCTGTGAGGCATGGTGAGCAGGCGCCCCCATTCCTCCCCTAATTTGTCCAATCACACAACCAATACTCAGCCAGTCACCCCCTGCTGCTGCTGATCCAGACACTCACTCCCGCGTAAGCAAAACACCGCGACTGACACTCTCCGTGTACGGACGCTTATCTGTGTCGCTAACAAACAGCCAGCTTACGACAACCTGCCCTGTGTGCAGAATACACTAGTCCTCACAGCTCCCTGACTTCTGACATTAGACGAAACAACCTTATTGAGATTGGTTTAAGTTAATCTCCCATCCTTGACCGCCACAAACTCACCAACTACAGATTCATCAAAGTTGACCCTGTGAGGGGATGATCTTATTCGGCGTGGCGTCGTTGGGATATGAAGTATTACGCAAACCAAAGTTCCTTTAGGGCGGAACATATCATCCGACGGCTTAAATTATACGAGAAATGTGTCACTTACGAATTCTTGCGCGAAGTCTGCGAGCAGCTTTGTGAGTCCACACGGGTTTCCTTACTTATTCGCCGACCACAGAGGGCTAGATGGCTTCCTACTCCATGGGTATGTATCGGCTTCGTGGCACACGCCTACTGCCAGCACTTTAACAGCCACCAATTGAAATTTTACATATGCATACGCTGGCTTTTCCATCTTTGCTTTGGACATTAAATTTGTAATAGAAAGGGTAAATGTTCGCATTTTACGTTATTACCATCGTACAAGTAAGCGGTGAGCCTGAATCAGTGTATACAGGAAGATTACAAGCAGAGTTCGCATTCTCAGCCCCCACAGCATCCAAAAAGTGCATATGAACCTCAGCATTCAAGAAGGGAAGCCAACGAGGGTTCGGTACTTCCGCCATTTGCAGTCAGTAACCGGTTTTATGAAATATTGGCCGAAATTCTGAAATACGTTTTCCACTCGAAGGGATTACTCAGGTAGGGTTGTCATATACAGTATCACATCCCATGATAGTGTGATATTTAGGACTCACTAGGATGTTGGCTTTTGAAAGCATTGTCTTTCAATCTCCCGTTAAAACCGAAGTCGATAAAATGACTATGAATTTAAGTATATTTTGTAGAAAATGTGCATAAAAGTATGTATCTTACCTGCCCTATTATTAATGTGCCTCGTTAATTGTACAAGGCGGTTTGCATTCATTACGAAATTTTGTGAACTCCCTATGGTATGTTTTCAAAGTTAAAGAAGAATATGTGATTTTCCTTACGCTGAAAGTATACACCACGCAGACTGAAGTCGCTAAATGCTAGTGCAAAGCAGATCGGGTTTAAGATTATTTGGAAATGAAAATTGTAATTATACCCTTTCTTCGATTACAAAGTGTGAATAGAACGTGCTGTGCTACCGAATGCGGGGAAGAAGGTATATTTCACGCACTTTTTTATGGAATAGATTTTAATTTATAAGGTCATCGAAAAGCGATGTGGAAAAAGCACCCTACTTAAGCAGTCACTTTTAACAAGTGGGGTTTCCACCAGAGGTTGAAAAGAAGCGCATTCAAAAGCCAACATCCTGGTGAGCCCAAAAATGTCGGATTATGCGACGTTATAATTTATATTACAAACTCACCTGAGTAATCCTTCCTAACCGAAAGCTCATTTCAGAGTTCCGACCAGCATCTCATGAGATCGACCATTCACAGGAAATACAACCCTTGAGCCTGCACTGTATTTGAAACCCCGTCAGAGCCAATTAATGACGATGACAAGACAGATCACCAAATACAAAAGTCATTGTCTAACGTCCAGATAGCTTTCTTAAACAAGAAAGGCATCGTTCTCAGTTTGACGATTGGTGTCGTACACCCACCGGTCGCACAATGCGAGATCAACTCTTGCGGATCAAGAACTGACTGGAACTGAATATGAGGGCGGGCGACATATTTCGCATTTGATATGGTGACTACGCTTACAATCACTAGTGAGGGGGGCAGGTACTGGAGACCGCGCTGGGCGAGCTGATGATTCTGGTTCGGTTGAGAGATCATCTGTCCCCCGTGTGACTAACCACGGGCTAAATTGAAATCAAGCCTTCGATTTGCAGCCATGTCAATTCTAGGATGCGCTGGACATCCGATCAGAGCGTTGGGTGTTAAAGGCGAGAGAACATGGCTTAGAATTAATGTCGGGACAGGGAAATAAGAACTCCTCTCAATATTACAAACGGTCGTGCTCTAGATTTGGGAGGAGATTAGTGTTAGGGTTAAGGGAGGGTTAGGATTAGTACTGAAACACTTGGATAGGTGCCGTTCCCGGAGTTTAACGCACGGCCACCCAAATTACGGGGATTTCCTGTTTCTACGTTTTGAATAATCAATAAACACCGGTGTCCAGCTCTATTTCTCACCAGACGCTGAAAATCCAGACTGAGGCATGTAGTCCTGCCACCAAGGTCAACACCACTGGCTGTAGAGATGCAAGGCGGACCTGATTGGCTATTACCCACGTAAGTGTTCACCGTGTTTCGCTCAGAATATCTCAGTCGACGAACCCGAGAATCATTTCGAAATCTCCAGTTAAGAATAAATCCTTTCTTGCGCTGGAATGTTCTACACCCCCAAGAGGCAAGTAACAAATTATGAAGTATGAGTTCCAACATACTAAAATGAATGATCGGTAATAACAGGCGAGCCTTCTGCTGACTGATTATCAATTTTCGACCAGTTGTGGTGGTTATAGGCTGTAGTTCCGAAACACAACTAAACAAAATGGGCAATATCAACCTTCGAATTGGTTAGGTGCCAATTCTGTGTGTCTTTGGGTAATCTAAAATGCAATCGATTGGGCTGGAACTAGCAACTCAAGGGAGAGAATACTTGATTATACTGCTCGGTGGTCAGCTGAATCCTAAGCGTGCATCAAAGCCAAAAATATCCGTAATTGAGCTTCGACTAGCTGATGAGCGTAAGCATGCCAGAAACGACCGAGTCTCACACCTATTCAAAAGCTTTTCACATGAGAATTTCTCACTTTGTCCGTTCCCCTTATTCTAAGACAGCGCACACGGATCCAGCCCAAATTATCTGTTCCGAAGGGACAGATAGTAGATGACGAAAATCTTATGAGATGCGAAAGCAGGACTAAAAGGCTCTGGTACATTTTATTTGGTTTGAAGAAGATCTGGTCCAGCACATTGCTATCAGCTGCATCTAGCAGCACGACTTTGTAGAGGCTGAAGAGGGAGGGGGGAGAAGGCTTTAAGTACGGGGGGAGGGGATGTAGCATAAGTTATACACATCTGCCTAGTACTCAGACGCACTGGGTGGCGCATTCCGAACGAGGACTTATGCCGGCGCAGGCTGCGGCCTTCTTATCGAGGAGAGAATAGGTTGGAACACTCTCGACCTCCTTCTCCTTGCAGACAATCTCATCACCAGTAGCTTGCTCCGCCAGCAACTTCTTGCAGTCCAGCTTCTTGTCCTCCAGTTTCCCGCTCCCGCCCATTCTCTCGCGACGCAGTTCGAGACAGTCGCTATCCAGCTGTAAACTTCGTTCTTTCAGGGCGATGTCGTCCTTCAGGCGGTTAAGCTGCCTTTCCAAGGCATCCAGTTGGTGTCTGAGGAGCGAGAGAGAGAGCGCGAAAGAATATTACTAACCGACAACACTTTTAAAATGTGACATAGATGTAACAGCTTCAAACATATCCCCTAGCTCTAGGTATCCGAGTCAGTAAATCCTATCGTAAGCTCGTTTTCTGGTGGCCCGGTGTCACTTAAAGAATTAAAATTACTTCCCCTTTACTGATTGACTTGAGACAAAACGGACAGGGTGTACTGCCATCCCAGCAGAACAAATTGAAGTTTGAATGGGCATTACCACAGTTCCACACTCCTCGCCAACACAATATGAGGACCCAAAGGAACTAAACACATGGAAGAGATTGATGTTAGTGTGGATATGTATTTCGATACTATCAGTGCAGCCGGCAGTCTCTAGGAATATAACAATCCGGGATCTCGTGTTTCGAGCCATGGAACAGTGAGTACTCTCTCGGCTCGATTAAGATCGTGGTTTGGGTTAGGGGCCATATTGCAAATCGCGACTATCGGACGATGGCTCAACCAAACGTCACATTGAACTACCACAGCGTATAAGGCTCTATGGCAATACCCGAAAAAGTTGTAGTTCATGAGAGAGCTCGAAAGATGTGCAAGTAATTAGTTCTTCGAGTATTGCCGTCATATGGACACAGGAACTACAAATTAAGGTTATACAGGAATCGGTGACCAAGTCACAGTCAGGACCGTCAGCAATTATCGGTACGTTAAAAGCCAGAACCCTCTAGATTTTGTAACGCGGGCCTCACATAGAACGCGTGAAATGTTTGCAGCCACCTTATCAATTAGTGAGGAGAAAAGGACATAAATGTTACCAGATTTTGCAGTAGCTGAACCATGACGCGTAACTGGCGCCAAGCTGGACACTCGGAAGTTCTTCTTTTCAAACAGAGTGATCGAGGCCTGGAATGCTCTGCCTGCAGATGTCGTCATGTCCACCTCCGTCGAGGCTTTTAAGCGCAACTTGGACCAGATTGCCACCAATCGTCATAATGCCACCTGACCGATAGTCTTGCATTTCGTTCGAACAGTTTATTAATGCTGTTATATTACTTTCTGTATTTCAGTAACGTTTGTTTTTTAATATTGTCCCATGTCTGTTGAATGTGTGTTAGCATTTAATTCGTCTCCCTCCGAAACTGAGATAGCACCAACTATCCCTAGACAGACTACTGTACAGCACATTTAGTAACGTTAATGTTTTTAACTCTTGGAACAATTCGTTTATCTGTCTGGCTTACAAAACGTTGCCAATCTGAAGAAACTCTGTAGCCGTTTGATGTTTCCATTTCCAAATTTCTTTTTATTGTTCGCCTCCTTGTAACAAATAGGGAGTTCAAAGGTTCAACACCTATATTTCCCTCAATAAAACTGAACTGAACTGAACATGTTTTTCTCCCCCTCAATGGGTCCGCCATCCACAATTCCATTCATAGACTTCCTTGCTCACTCTCGCATTCACAGTCCAGAGAAGGCAACTACGGTTCTCCACTGGCCACTGCCCGATTTTCGAACTCAACGCATTATTGGAGTGCCTGCCGCCGGAGATTTACGAGAGAACCTCTTCCTTTCTGATAAGCCAAAGAAAATCTAGAAATTCATTGTCGTGGGTTGCGTATCGTATCGCTTTTGTGGACTGCGTAAGACCCCGTGGCGAAAACCAGCTGTTGGACGACAATTCATCGCGTTATCTGCCCAGTAGCTTGGCACTGACTAGGTTAAATAAGCACTTCCAAGGACACAATCCGGGCGGTGGAAAATAAGGACGGTTTTTTAAGCGACCCGCTGTGGGCAGTATCATATACAGTTACACCGGTCTGGGTAGTAACTAGCATTTACGAATGTGGCTTGTAATGTTATCAATATTGCTCAAATCCACTGCTTAATTTTATGAACCCCATATGGTCTCCTCTTAATACGGTAGAGAAATGCATGGTTTTCCGTACACGGAAAATATACGGCTTGCAGTTTCGAAACCCTGAATGCAAGTAATACAGCAGGTCGGGTTCAAAATTACTCATGAATTCAAAAAATTTTTGAAACCCGAATTATGTAGACCTTCGAGCAAAAGATTGGAAGAGGATGTGATTTCCTACCGAATAGGTAAAAGAGTAAATATTTTTATGCATGTTTCCTATGAAATATAATTGAATTTTCAAGGGAATCGAAAGTCAATGAGAAAATTGCGGAGCATAGTTCTTGCATGCAGTCGTAAATAAGTTCTTTCGAAAGCCGACACCCTGAGGTAACTGATTCACTATAGAATTATGCTGCACGATCATTAGTTTTACAACCCTACTTGATTAATCTTTTCGAAACGAGAACGCATTTCGAAATTTCGGTTGACATTTCATGAGTTAGCCCACCTACTGTACAGCTACGCCGGTCTGAGCAGTAACTAACTATTTGAGGTGTACAGCAAACAGTCGCGTAACAGGCGCTCATTTGTAGTAACAAACGTGCCCCTAACAACCCGAAGTGCTCAGACGTGCACAAAGAATTATCAGGATGCAGCCTCTTCCATATGACGTTCTACAACGTTCTGAGTAACTACACTATTCGCCCTGTGAGCATATAATGGTCACCTCTGGCTTTATTCCGTCAGAAGGAAGCCCTATTGCAGTGGCAGGAAGCGAATGCCACTTACTTGTGCCTCAGCTAAACTGCATTAAAATCCTACGCTCTGGCCTTTAGTCTTGAAATCAGACTCAGTCTTCCCCCATCAGGAGTCGGATGATCTTAATTTGCGTCGGAGCTCCGGACTGAAAGCACCACAACGGACCGCTTAACGACGACCCCTTCCATACTTATGACTGGATTTCCTTCGCCCCTGCTAACTCGTGAATGTTTTGCGATATAATTCTTGCGTCCTCCTCAATGTTTTTTTCAGTAGGGCGACAGGTAGCAACAAGCAGAAGTCGAGAGGACACAGAAAGTTGCGTCCTTTGAGTGGTATTGACTGGCAATATTGAGGATAATGCAGTGGTTCTGCTATTGTTCAGAGAGATAAAAACTGACTCCAACTTATGGGAACTTCTTGGTAAACAGAAAGAGGTCCATGCATTGGGGGACAGTTGTCTAATATTGTAGATAACATTTTGTGGCATGGGGCTTGAAACGCGGCTATGGTTAGGGTTTTAAGTTAAGGTCTGGAGCTAGGGTGTAGATCAGGTTAGCAAAAGTAAGAGATCCGGGTTGAAAATCTGAGGAAAATGAACTGCTCACCGGATCGAGGGACTTGCAGGGCTGACGTTTCGAAGAGCTGGGGCGGCTTTGATAATGGAGAGCCGCCCCAGATCTTCGAAACGTCAGCCCTGCAAGTCCCTCGATCCAGTGAGCAGTTTATTTTCCTCAGATTAGGATTTAGAGTTAGGGTTTATAGTTAAGGCCTAGAGTTAGGGTTTCAGGTTAAGATTTAGGGCTGGAGGTTAGGGTTAGGGTTAGAGCTATCATTTAGAGTTAAGGTTTAGGGTTCTCCGGTTTACCAGTGTGGCCGCGTTTTAGGTTTCAGCCCACTTTGTTACCTAAAACATTCTTTGCTCAGAGCGCATTTGAATGGGGTAAAAACTGTTAATCAAGAAGGGTATAGAGATTAAAACACTTTACTAAGATTCATCCCAGGGAGTATGCAACATAGGAAATGAGGCCGCATTGGAGAAACGAAAACAACTGAACAGGCTGTCTTAGAAAAAACAGTGTGTATTTGCCTTTCATTTAATTCCATCCTACAGTCAGGATACATAGATGCATATCGTTTCCATTGCCTAAATACTGGCGATCTCAGTCCACATGACGCGAGTCTACTGTCAGAAATAGTAATTCCAATTTCCTGGTCTTCACTGCCAAAACCTTTTCGGAAGTGATAACATCCACACTACTAGCAAGAAAAGGCCCCATAGCATGACCAAACGAACATGCACAGTTATGCCCCAATGTTCTTAATTATCACAACCACTATCTCAGGCAAGCTAGGTATAGGGGGCTTTTTCATGCACGCCACCTCTGTCTGCATTTGTTAGCTCACATGCCATATGCAGCATACTTGCCAAAGTGGTTGAAGAGAGCAGAAGAAGAAGTACCGAAAAGTCCAATTACACCTGCCGGTCCACTTTCGCACAGGTAGATATCGTGTTCTGTTTAACTGGAGGCTGCGGTACTACATCAGAAGGCAGCTAGATGTGTTTTGACTGCTGGATCAAGCGATTCCATTTGCACGACACTGGTGCATTAACCGTACTAAATAGACTCTACCTCAAAAGAAGAGTGGGCGTTCACCGGGAGGGGTTTATTTGAGATCCGACGTTTCGGGTAGTTTACTCGTCTACCCATCTTCAGGGACTGAGAGGTCCTGTGCACAGCACTCCTTATTATGGCGCCCTTTGTCCAATGCGTGATCCGCCAATGCCGTCTGTGTGGCTGCATCCAACCCGCATGTCACCGTGACCTGAATCGCCCCCGTCGGCCGCGGTGATGACTGACGGCCCCGATTGTCCCGCGCCGTGACTGTCCCCCGCTAAGAAGGTTCGTAAAGTCAGATAAGGGGGAGGCAAATTGATGTGGCGGTTGACAGAGCGGTCGGTGGACATCCAGGCTTCTTGCACTTGCCTTGCTGTGTGATCGCCGCCCCGGCCCACAATCTCAACGGCGTCAAAGTTGAAGATGTGTCACATTTGCGCGGCATGGGTTGCTACCTCCGACTTTGGGTCCAACCTTCGCACGGCCAACTTATGCTCGTGCATTCGCGTTTGCAGCCGTCGGCCGGTTTCCCCAACGTAGTCGCAACTTCCGCAGCTGCATTGGAGTCGGTAGACAACGGCCGACATCTCCTGCTTAGGGATCGGATCTTTCGGCCGCATCACTTGCCGGCGGATTGTTGAGTCAGGCCTGTGGGCAACACCTAGTCCGAGTGGCGCGAGTGATCGAGCCACGACTTCGGAGACCCCTTTAATGTACGGAATGCTCCGCCACGAGTTTGGCTGACTGTGCTCCTCGTTCCGTTTCTTTGGCTGCCTCCGGCTTCGTTCAATGAATGCCCGTGGATAGCCATTGGCTCTGAAAAGTTCGCGGAGTAGCTTTATCTCATTCAGTTTGGCGGCTGGCGTGCTGCAATGAGTTTCTACCCGTCGGTACAGCGTGCGGACACAGCTTCGTTTGTGTTGTGGCGGGTGGTTGCTGTTGTAGCTGAGAATTTGCAGCGTGTTCGTCGGTTTTCTGTAGACCGACGTCGCTAGTTCGCCATTTGGTTGGCCGCAGACGAGAACATCCAAGAATGGAAGTTTGTCCTCGACTTCCTCTTCCATCGTGAACTGTAGATCGGGCATGATTGAGTTCAGTACTTCCGCATAGTAGTTGATTTTATCCTGGTCTATGATCACGAAGGTGTCATCAACGTAGCGTGCCCAAAACTTGGGTTTGTACTCCTCGAATAGTCGTCTCTCGAGTTTTTGTAGAACCGCCTCGGCAATGAGTCCGGAGATTGGTGAACCCATTGGAGTGCCCTTGATCTGCTCGTATGTGGTCCCTTCAAAGGTAAAGAATGTCTTGAGGCAGTGCCCCATGAGTTCTATGAGATCCTGAGCTGTGGGCTGGCCATCGCCTCCGTCGTAATTTTGACGTAGCAGGTCACTGAGCGTTTCGACCGCAAGGGTCTGTGGTATGGACGTGAAGAGTGAGACGACGTCAAAAGACACCATCCTTTCATTCGGTTCGATCGTGACTGCCCTTATTTTGTCAAGGAATTGTTCTGCTGGGTGCACCGTTGTTTGTGAGCCTGCAGTTAGGAATCTTAGCTTCTGAAATAGCCAACTTGCAAGCCCGTATGTGGGTGTGCCTCGGAGCGAGACGATAGGACGGAGGGGAACATCTGGCTTGTGTATTTTTGGGAGACCATAGAATCTCGCCATAGCGGTTTCTGCGGGCTTTGCCATATACCAGTCTTTGACGGTGATGACCTTGTCCTTTTTTAGTCGAGCCAGAGTTCTGTTAACCTTTGCCACTAGGGACTTTTGACTGGCGGCGTCGCTGACTTTGTAGGACTCTCGATCGTTGAGGAGCAGGAGGGCTTTGCGTCGGTAGTCCACCTTGTCGAGGATGACGGTTGACCGGCCTTTGTCAGCAGGGAGAATAACTATTTCGGTGTCCGCTTTCAGCTCCCTTAGGGCCTTTTGTTCATCTCTTAGCAGGGCATGGGTTTTTCGGTGCGACATGAGAAGTGAAGAGACTTGATGTCGAAGGAGGTCCTTTACCTCGTCTGTGGCGCCGGTTTGACGAAGCACTGATTCGAAAGAAGCAATGAAGGTGACCGGGTCGGCGTCAGTTGTGTTAAAACCAGATCCACGTTGTAGAACTTTTGTTTGGGTCACAGTAAGTTGTTTTGACGAGAGGTTATGTACTATCGTTTGTTCGGTTTCCTGGTCTTGTGCGGTCTGCAGTGTCATGAACTTTATCGATAAATCCGCATCTCTGTTAGCACGTTTCTTTCGTCCCAATGCTAGTAATGTGTTCTCCAATGAGGCGGCAGTCGATTCCCCACACCGGCGTGTAACAAGCATCCGGTAGTTTTCAGCACTGTGTGCGTATTTCTTAAGTCGTAGGTGACAATCTTGTATGAGTACCCTTGTCATTCGCCGACTATGGCGGAACACCGTTTGTTTAGCCAATTCCGTGTTGACTGGAGGCTTGTAGGAGAGGCATTTTGGCATAACATAGTTGGCAAGGCATCTGTGAAGGAAATGGAGCTGTGCATAGGTCGAGGCCTGTCGGAGGACAGTTTTTTCCCAACGACGAGCCAGTTGAAGCGCTTCGCGCCCGTAATTCACATCAATAGTAGTGAAAATCCGATTCCCAGGTGGCATATCAAAAGAAGAGTGGGCGTTCACCGGGAGGGGTTTATTTGAGATCCGACGTTTCGGGTAGTTTACTCTACCTCTTCTGCCCATACGCCCAATACGCTTCATATAGCCGGATCTGTGTTATTCCACATACTAAATGCCTCATTACCTTTTGGTCAGGCCCAACCACATACAGTGAGTGACTGATCGCATAAAATGTTGGCTGAAATTCTGAAATGCGTCCTCGATTAGGAAGGATTACTTAGGGCGGTTGTAATATTGATTGTCTTGCGGCATAATCCTATAATATTTCGGACTCGGCAGGGTGTCAGCTTTTGAATACACTGTTTTTCGAACTTCTGTAAAAATCGTACTTGGTAAAATATGACTACTTGTGTAGCATGCATTTTTCTCATTGATTTTCGATGGTCTTGAAAATTCGAATATATTTTGTAGAAACCATGAACAGAAATATGCTTTCTTTCAGTCATTTAATAGAGAATTTTGTCATCTGTATATTTTATACTTGAGGAAGGAGCATAATCAGGTTTTAAAAAAAGTTTCTAATTACGTAATTTTTTAAGACCGCGCAATGTGCATTTATATAGCAACGTACCTGTCCAGTTACCACTGCTCCTCATGAAATGTACAACATATTCCGCAACCATTGCACAATTTTATAGACTCTATATGAAACCTTTTTGATGGCGTAGAAGAATATGCAATTTTCTTTATGGGAGCTCATGTACCTTGTAGATTTAAATCACTAAGTGTTTGTGCAACGACTGATCAGGCTTCAAATTATTTAGGAATTAGAAGACTTCTTTAAAAATTAATTATACTTCTTCGAGTATTAAATACAGAGATGACGTGATTCTCTATCAAACGACTGAGAGAAAGCCTATTTTTGTTCATGGTTTCTACAAAGTACATTAAAATTTTCAAGACCATCGAAAATCAATGAGGAAAATGCGTGCTACATAAGCAGTTCTTTTGTACCAAGTACGGTTTTTACGGGAGTTCGAAAAACAGTGTACTCAAAAGCTGATATCCTGCCGAGTCAGAAATATTATAGGATTATGCCGCGAGATAATCAATGTTACAACCGCCCCTAAGTAATCCTTTCTAATAGAAAACGCATTTCGGAATTTCAGCCAACATGTCAGGAGATCGGTCAATCACTGTATGATCAACTAGTATTCCATTTTTATGTTTGCAAAGACAGACAAGGCTGTTTTACATTTTCGTCTTGGCACAACTGTCTAAAACTGTGCCGGTGGGATTGGAACACACGACAGCAAGGGGAAGCCACTTTAGTGCACCCCGCGCTCTAGCTATGAGCCGTGAGTTTAATTACATTGGCTAAAATCCCCTGTCACCCTTGTCTTTGTGGGTAATATCATTCTGCCTATATCCTGCGCCGCTGTGCGGCTGCTGGTTGGACTCGCGAGAGAGTCCATAAGGCACAACGGAACGAGTGAGTTTCGTAAGAACGATCGGTGAGCGCCCTCTACCATTGGCTAAAATTACCTGTGCAACCTAATACAACATCTGGAATCCATCAAGTCTGATATAGTAAGCTGACTGCCCGGGCAGGATGAAAATCACCGCTCATAGTGGGGCCCCGTAGCTTAGGCGGCCAGAGCGTTGGCTGTACTAAAGCCTTCCCACTTGCTGTCGTGAGTTCGAATCCCACCGAGGCGTCGAGGTTGTCTTAGTTGAGTCAAAATGAATCATTCAAAATCTCCCAAAACTCCTAGTAGAACTGATTTTGTTTAAAGAAGACAAAACGGCGGATTTTTAAAGAAGTTGAGTTTCGGCATGCCTTTCTTTATTTTGCAGGCGTGAACATTAAGTTAACTACAGCTAAAAAGAAGAATTCCACGGGCGTCTTGTTCCCAGATCATCAGCTGTGAACTCTAGATCATCTGCCCTCAATTATTTGGTTAAGCCCCATTAGTCTAGTCTCATGCCATATACCCTGCTTTTCTCCAGCACACAATATACGTTTGTCGTCCTATCTTTCCCATCTCTACTCCAAATTTCGACTCCGTCTGGATTATTCAACAGGTGCGATGATGGAGCAGATTAAAATTCCTGATTCAGAACTGAAAGACGATCCTGCAGCGAGAGTTATTCCGGAGGGAACAACAACTTCAGAGCACAGAACCATAAGAAGCCCAAGTCAAGAAGGAGGCTTGTCGGCTGCATGCTCTCATCAGTCGCCCTTGACTGAGCTGTCTTCACGCGGAACGTCAAGCAGTGCGTTAATATGCAAAGAAATTACAAGCTGAATAAAGAAAGGCGGAGTCTAACGTATTCACACTTTTTTCAGCGCCATGCTCGCGAGGCTAGTTGTTTTGGCTTCGAAAAGAAAAGGAAACCGTAGATTTTCGTGTGCACACATCCCCCAATCCTGTCCTGGCCAACAACTAGTTATCACTGAGAAAATTCAACAATAGGACAAATGAACTGGCTTGGGCCGCTTTTATAAGAATTGAATGGCTAAACACTAAGTTTCGGTACTTGCCTTGCCTCGTGTTGCTTCATGAGAAGTGCCTGGCGTGTGCTCTCCAACTGTTTAACCTCATCAGTCAAACCGTATTGGGGGCCATCTCTACAGAGGTCAACACCCGGTCGATATGTCCTCCGTTCGAGGCGAGTCTGGGCCACTTTTGTTGGTGGAATTTGGTCCATCAGCTCCTGCTCCAGTTTCTCCAGGTCATTAAGCATGTCGGCAATCTCGTCTTCGGTCTAGAAAGCAGGTCGGAAAAAAATATTCCATTTTTAATGCACATTTTCAAAAAGGCCTCTTGTGAAGTCCTACGAACTCGCCGGTTATGTGGTCTTTAGCTTTGTCGAAGCATTACTTGCAAAATAGTTTGCGTTTCTCATGACTTACAGGCGAGTTGAATGCAATTTTATTCTAATTCATCTGCATACCTTTGAACTAGTCTATCGCGCATTCACTTGGATTATTATTGTACCGTAAAAAGCTATTGGTATGTCGCCTACTGGGCAAGCAACAATTCACACTAATTAAAGTTCGGTAATTGTATGGTACTGATTGATCTGTTTGGAAGTTGTGCTAAAAATATAGTGATAGCCGAAATGGTGCGTGGATGCCAAAGTATAATCCAGTTTGCTAACGGCGAATATATCATTGGCCTACCAAGACCAACTTTTAGTCCACAGGATAGGACGCAGCTGTGGCCAGATCTACTCATCGATTTGTGTACGTGTCTATTTCCCTTCAGAGCCGAATTGCGCTCTGTAGGGTCAGCTTTTAATTGGTAAAAGGAAGTGAAGTAGAATGTGATATCCAAAAACTGCTATATCGTATAAGCTCAAAGCGGTATTTCCGATAAGATGTGTCACTAGAACGGCAAACAGAAGCTTCGAGCGTTGACTCGGCCACGCTGGCACTGTGAATGCCAAAGTGCTTAAGAGTAATGCACTGAAGGCTCACAGAGGGCCAAAGGCTTCCTTACGCTTACTTGAGAATGAAATAATTTTCAGAGTGCAGTTATTACTGCCGGGTCCCGACAGCCCGACCGTCGCAAACGACCGCGCGCCTCATAGATTGAGCGCAACAACGATGACTTGCGCGTGGGTTGTTTTCTAGGGAAGCAGGCTTGCGCAGCATCAAGCGCACTCGATTCTCCTTGTTCCAGTGGCAAGACAATGACAAGTTTCTTGGATGCAGGCGAGGATGCAACAACTCAAACGTCTCGCACATGACCTGGATTTCATAAGGAGAGCTAGGATCTCCTATGGGTTAGGGTGGCGTAAATCACAGCAACAAGGTGCCACTACAGGCCTGTCCTCAGTTGGCGACTTTCCAAGCCACGATTCGTGATGCATTATGGTAGATCCGTGCGCGTCATATTTATTAATTTGATGACTGCACAGATTTTATGTGGAGATGCATTTTTCAACGTCATCCTCACTCCCTCTTCTCATCTTCCGTACACCAGTCGACGATTTGAACCAACCAATCAGTGATGAAATAAGATGCAGTAGCTGACGCCATGTTATGGCCTACGCTCATAGATGGCAGTAATTATAGGCTCCCACGGATTCAGTGAAATTAAATAAAAGCGTACTGTCAGTCACTCTGACCTGAGTTTTATTTAAGCCCATTTTCATCGCAGCCCGCTGCCAGGAGGCATCTCATGTTTTGTTCAAAGTGACACCAACTGAGCGAAGTGCAGCATTAGCTTGGTTTATTTGGCAAAATAATGCTTTGGTGCTGCTTGAACACTTTGATTTATATAGGATTTGCTTACATCTGATAATAATCGGTTCGGTTCCTCTTCTGCATGCAAAAAAGAACTTCTCCGATACAGACTTAGCCTAATTTGCCTATGATTTTGAGCCGCAGAATGACTTTATCCCTCAGAAATGCTTGTCTATTTTGCGAGCTGTGGAGCTGATTGAGGTGTCTGCCATTTTGGCCAATTAGTTTTACTTTCGAAACATGTACATAGTTCAATTTTTACCATCCAGCATGAATGAATCATCGGAAATCTCGAAAGCGGAAATCTTGAAAGAAAATATTTGAAATACAATATGATATAAGTAATAGATATATGACAACGTGCTCACTGCCCACCAGCTCCTACCTGTTTACGCTGCCAATTAAGTTCATCCAAAGCAGCTTTATCCTCGTGGGAACGCTTACGAAGAGCAAAGTCTGTGGCCCTTGCCTGGGCATCAAGCTCATTTTCAGTCTGGTGCATGACATAGAAGATGGCCTCTCTGAGGCGTTCACTGGCTCCGATTTCAGCCTCAGCCCGCTGCCAGTTGTAACGTGTGAAATCCTCCCATTGTTTCAACGTTGTAGTTCTTGGGGGTTAATATACCGAAAATAATGTCTAAGGTTCTGAAATTTCAGCTTTATGAACAAATGACATGACAACAATCGTCTAGCGCTCCAAGTCTCTAAGCCCCTAGTCAATAATTGCGACGAAAAATCAGCAGCTTGAATGGTCGGGAGTGAACCAACTATGGGGCCAAAAAGCTGTTTGGACTGACTTACGTAAGGATGGTCTTAAGCAAGGCCACCAACTCGCATGAGTTATTGAACAAGCAGGAGTCAAAACAATCAACAAGTACGTGTTTTGGTGGAAAATATTTGTGAACCCGAAAGCAGCTATTCCAAACTCCAACTGTGCAGGCACTGTCTTTTACCACTTACGTCAGCGACGCAGACGACGGCGGAGGATCCGGATGAGCTGCTTAGGGGAGTAACTGACAGGATCCGTCTCCGCCCTAACCATACAAGGGACTATGAAAGGACAAGATCACTTTTAATGACTGTTTGGGCAGATATAATGACCTCATTGCAAAACCTAAGTTAGGCCTCATAATTCATAGCTACTAACATTCTTCCATTTTTCTGATACCAGTCCAGTTTTATTACATCCAGATAGCCTATTTTGTGGCATTTGAAATGCAAGAGGACTGCTTATCTATGACATCTGTACTTTTGTGTCTTAGAATAGTCATTGCAATGACATGCGTATTGTAGAATAAGTGTCCATTAGGAAGGGTATATATGAGTCATTGTGTACTTTTGTATGACGTGCCATGCTTTCCAGCAGTAAGGCTAGTCGTTCGCGTAAAATTATAGGCAGCCGATGTATTTGATGGTTACGTCGTCCACTCCATTGCAGAGGTCGGCGCTTGCGGTGCCTAGAACTTAGGATTTCGTACCACCAATACTATGAGGATCTAGTATTCAAAGAAGCTGTGTCCACAGGCCCACTTATCACGTGACCTTGCAAAGAGGCAAAGAGGAAAGAATGGCAAAAATATTAAATGAAAAAGTTAATCCGGAAAACAATCAGTACTACATGTTCCAGTTAAGAATAACTCGCCTATTCCCCTTGGGTGTGTTATATAAACACGTTTGTGTGCGGTATGCGCACATACCGCACACAACCGTTTACGGGTGTATTTGTCCGGTTACAGCCGGTGAATATTTTTTCCGATTCTATTACTGACAATGTGTTCATTTGTGAAATTATGCGCGACGATGCACCATATCACAGGTTGGTCGATCGTGTTTTGAAGAAATGAAATTATTATAACTCGCCGTCTGTGACAAAAACCGGGATCAGCGGAAGTTAGATACAGCTGCGGACGAAGTATGCGGCGCATTGCACTTAAAAACAAAGGTGCTAACATTTACTTTTTTGTCAGTACATCTAGATCTAGGTCAATGCCGGAAATATACAACGCAATGGCGACCAATATCACATATTGTACTAGCCGGCGCTACGTTACCCATTTCCGATGATAGGTTTCTTGCCGTATTTTTTTAACGAGGACATCAAGCATTGCTTCTTTTTACAGTAAAATTGTTTTCCAGTGACTTACCCCTTCGGGACACGCGTAGGATTGACTTTGTAGGATACACCAGGACAGCTGGGAACCAGTTTATATTGCTCAATATCAATGTCTATGGTTTCGTTTTTATCTTGTAAATCTTTCAAAACTTGTTGTCGAACTTCCTGCAATAGCAAAAGCTGATCATATGCCTCGTCAACCTTCTGTTGCAGTCTTTTCTTACATTTTGCAAGAAGCTCTTGCTCCTATAGAGAATATAGGGACCATTAATTTACCGCTTTCAGCTCATATTCTGGCTTGTCTTCATTAAAGTCTATTCCGCGTCTTCGGTCTCTAAGGGTTAGGCATTCAATATTGCAGTCTTCCGGAATCTGCATATCAGCAATCTGTTTTTCCAGTGCATCTTTCCCGGCCGACAATTTTGAAATTTCTTCATCAAGCTTTGATTTTGCAAGTTCAAGTATATCTTTAAATGAGATGACTGTGTCAAGTCTGTCAGCTAGTCTTGTTGTGTTGTAATAATTATCCCATTTCGTTCTAAGTGCAGCAGACAAACGTAGTGCTCGCGTCTCTTGTCTGATATCATGTGATGCCTGTCGCTGGCGAACCGAATTTGCAGACATCATGAAAGAATTCGTAAACCAGTCTGGCGGCTGAAATTTTCGCTGAGATTTATTAAACGTAGCCATTTTCTACGAAATGCAAAATGGCTTTGAAATACGCGGTCTTTACTTGCACCCCGACAACCTGGGGGTTGTTTAGGTAAAGAATTGCTCAGAAGTTAGTAGGTTGCATAACTATTTTTCGCTAAGATCAGGCCCTTGTAACGTAGAGTCTTAAGGGATATAATGCTCCCCTCTGGGAATATGCAAGAACACCGGCCTAAAATTAGTAACACGCCACCTAGCAAAACGAAGAATATCGGATGTTCAGATGTGAGACAAACCAACACAACAAAAGGGAAATTTGGGATACTGAGTAGAGCACAACGCAGAGTAACTAGCAGGTGTAAATGTTGGAGCGGTAGGTAATTAAAAAACTGCGAAGAAACGTTTGGGCGTTAAAAGTGAGAAGAAGATAGAAGCAGCCCGGGAAACGTCTAAAAAACCTGCAAACAACGAATCATCTTCATTGCCTGTTCCCCTAAGAAATTTTAGTACGGTGGTACTATCGGAAGTCCTCCTCTGGATCCCCCTTAAGCAAACAGTCCCGAATAACGGACATGAATATGCTCCTCCCCATATTAAATCCTTCCTTCCATAAATATCACCGGGCTTCCGTTTTCTTCTTGTTTTGAAAACAGACCGAACAGTCACACAGTAGCGCAGTATGACCATTCTTACCGACAAACGCACTGAGATACTCTTCGTCAATGTAAGAGACTTTTTTCGCAAGAACAAGGACTCAGCAACCGGCCCTCTAGTTTCATCTAGATCTTGTCGGTGTCTTGACATTCTATGCAAGGGGGAGGTCAAATGTAAGGTTCATTGGCTTACGGCCTAAGAAGGTTGGTTCATCGTCAACTGCCAGACTTTCCCAGTCTATTGCAGTTGTGCTGAAGTCCCCCAAGATAAGAACCTTTTGGTGACTAGCTACTTTACCGAATGAAGGACCGTATCGTCAACTGCATTTGGAAGGTGCGGTGGTCTCTAAACCGTAAAGAATTCTAGGTTTCATATTGACCCAAAAGTGAAAAACTCGGCGCCTCGGTGGGATTTGAACGCACGCAGTAAGGGGAAGGCTTTAGTACAGCCAACACTCTAACCACTTGAGCTACGAGGCCCCGCCGGACGACTCGAGTTTAATCACATTTGGGTCAAGTTACCCGCCCAACCTACTGCAACGTCTGGAATCCGTTATGGTTCCGTAGATTTAAAAAGTGACAATTTATGCCATTTAAGCTCTTATATAATCACACCTTTAACCCACTCACTGCTTTAAGACATCATGTCCACCCCCGACGTAACAGTCACCATGAGGTCTTTTTATTTCTGCCTCTGGCACATACTGTTAAATATCGTCGGTTCTATTCTGCCAATGCAATTGCTATTTGGGAAAAACTACCCAGTAGTGTGAAACCTCTGCGAAATTATTCTTTATTTAAGAGAACTTTTACTCGATTTTGCATTCAGAAAAGCTCCCACAAATTTTGGGTGTTGAATCCCCTGATCGACTGTACTGTAGCGATGGCGTTTGTGGTCTCTGAACACTATTGCCGGTGTCACCAGGGAAAATTTCTTTGACCAACAGCGACAGCTGTTTTTCGGCGCTTCTGTTTGGACTAGCCCCAACTTCATGACAGAAATTGGCTACTGATATTATCCGATACCGTGCAACTCCTCCCTTCTTGACGGCCGAAAGTTTGCCGCCAGCAGTTTTTTTCTCCTGGACACTCCAAACCATAAAAACCACCATCAACTATATTTTATTCCTTTTATACAGGAGTTTTTTCACTGCTGGCTGGATTTGTATTTAACGCTTCCCTGACAATGCCTGTAAACTGGCATTAAATAAAATTATTATTATCCGCCAAATCTGTTGCAGTAAGTTGACTGCCCAAGCAGGATTTCCCAAGTTATTCATCTAGAATCCACCAGATGACTATCAGGCTCACGTAATTCATAGATATTTTGGCAGATTTTAAATAATTCATATTGACCCACCTGTGAAAAACGGCGGCTCGGTGGGATTCGAACCCACACTGTAAGGGGAAGGCTTTAGTGCAGCCAACGCTCTGCCAAAATATCTACGATTTCTAGGTTTTGCGAATTATTATTTTTATCTTTATCCATACGGATTTATGTTCAAAAACGAGGGTTGGCGACCAATCATTTGCGGAAATTTCTGTCCTGGTATCGACGAATAGAATAATAGTAAAAATAAAAATAATGATTGCACTTAATTCCAGTTAACAGGCATTGTCGGTGGAAGGTTAAACACAAATCCGCCCAGCGAAGAAAAAACTCCCGACCCCAAAAAATAAAAATAAAGATGATGGTGGTTTTTTATATTTCGGTGGGTTCAGGAGAAAAAAAACTGCTACCCACTCAATGACGACAGTCAATAAATGGAGGGGTAGCACTGCATCCGATATTATCAGTCGCCATTTATTTTCATGAATTTGGGACTGGACCAAACAGAAGAACTGAAGAACAGCTATCGTTGTTGGCTAAAGAAATTGTCCTTGGTGAGACTGGCCTTAGGGATCAAAAATCACGAACGCCATCGCCACGGTATATTCGATGCATGAATTCAGCACTCAAAATTTGTGGGAGTTTTTCTGAATGCAAAAAAGGATTAATAGTTCTCTTTCACCAAGAGTCTCAATCCTTCAGAGCACTGCGTCCTGGTAGTCTCCAAAGCACTTACAACAACCGGGTTTATCCTCCGAAACTTTAAAACCAGCGATATTAGAATGTGCCTTTATAACATGCACGTTTGACCTTGCCTGTAATACTGTTCGTTTTTATTTAGCCTCATGTGTGCTGCTAGGCTGAAGAAAATAGAATCTGTCCAACATTTTTTACCAACAGAGTTTTAACCCCGGAACACCGGCATTTACCTTACTAAGAACGTTGTCGTCTTACAGGCCTTGATCCTTTATGGCTTCGTAGATGACGACGGGGACTATTTATACTATTTGAACTTTTATATAAGCGTACCATTGACCCACTCGCCACTTTAAGACATAATAATAATTTTTATTCAAGACCCGTGGGGGTCCTATCATAGCTAGTAAGAATAACTTTTACATTAATTTTAGAATTTTAGACGACGTATACAGAATTTATACAATACTTAATTCATAGTTGTTGAATAAGTAGTATGTTACGAGGAATTTTGAGCGAGCAGTGAAAAAAAAACTCCTAGCATAAACGAAATGAGTATGATTGGATTAGAACTATAGGAGGAAAAAAATATCGCTCCTTGATATATAAAGAGCAGACAGGACCGGCCTTTATATGGCATTGTGTAACGGATTTATGAATGGGTAATTTGGCGGGTCAGGCAGGACTGGCCTGTATATGGCCTTAAGTAGAAGGTTCGAAACAGGCATCATCAAGGCAGAATTCATCTTGTCCACCCCCGACGTAACAGTCGACGTGAGGTCTTTTCAGTTCTCCCTCTGGCACGTACCGTTAACTATCGTCGGTTATTTTCTGTAAATGCAATTGTTATTTGGAATAAACTACCCGGGAATGTGAAAACTCTAAAGAATTATCCTTTGTTTAAAATAAGCATTACTCATTATTTGCATTCACGAAAAACCACAAATTTTGGGTGTTGAATCCACTGATCGACTATAGCGTAACGACGCAGTTTGTGGTCTCTGATCTCTATGGCCGGTCACATCAGGGGCAATTTCTTTAGCCAGCAGTAACAGCTGTTCTTTGGCGCTTCTGTTCGGACCAGCCCCAACTTCATGAAAGAAGTTGGCGACTGAAAATATCCGATACAGTGCTACCCCTCCTTCCTTGACTGTCGGCATTTAAAGATCAGTAGTTTTTTCTCCTGAACCTTCCAAACTATAAAAAACCACCATCAACTTTATTTTTATCTCCTTTTTGACATGAGTTTTTTTCTTTGTTGGCCGGATTTCTGTTCAACGCTTTCCTGAAAATGCCTGTAAACTGGCATTAAATGCAATTATTATTATGGATAATTTTACAAAATTTTTACACTTCAGTATAATTCATTTAAAAGAGAATTTGTGTTTACAGAAAAAAACCGACGATATTTAACGGTACGTCCCACAGGGTGAAATAAATAGACCTCACGTCGACTGTTACGTCGAGGGTGGACAAGATGTCTTAAGGTAGCGAGTGGGTCTGAGGTACGATTATATGAAAGCTTAAATAGTAGAAAAAGTCCCCGTCGTCATCTACGAAGCCATAAAGGATCAAGGCCTGTAAGACGACAACGTTCTTTGTACGACAAATGCCGATGTTCCGGGGCTTAAACTCTCTTGGTAAAAAAATGTTGGACAGATTCTATTTTCTTCAGCTCAGCAGTACACTTAAGGCTAAATAAAAACGAACAGTATTACAGGCAAGGTCAAACGTGCATGTTATAAAGGCACATTCTAATATCGCTGGTTTTAAAGTTTCGGAAGATAAACCTGGTCGTTCTACTTGCTCTGGAGACTATCGGGGCTGAGCGCTCTGAAAGATTAAGACAGTTTGAGTTTGAGACACCCTGATCCTTAATAACGCCAGGCACATTTATTGAGTGACAGTCAATACTTAGTTGCGTTTGGCGGTCGTCGCCAATCACTATGACTGAACATTTATGCCAAGGAGGAGAAAGGCGCCATGTTCAGTACCACTGGACAAAAGCCTGTAGGTCGCGCTTTGGGAGTTCGATCACGATGTCACGATCTGCCGGCTTATATCTCTATGTAACTTTCAGATCATCGACATATATGACGAGCATACCATTCTGAAATAGGTCTAATACATCGTTAACAAACAGGCAAAATAATAGCCGGTCAAGTACACTACCCTGAATGACTGCACTCCTCACACGTGTGGGGTTGGAGATAGAAATGGAAATCTTAACTCGTTATCTGCGAGCGCCCAGGCAAGTGAATGTCACATTCAAAGTTTGCCACCTATTCTGAAAGAAAATAGCTGCAAGAGAACAATAGCATTGTCAACACGACGAAAGGCCTTAATGAAATCAAAATATACTGTGTAAAGTGCGAAGCTGTTGTTCCTTCATTGGAGAACATGGTCAAAGAAGGAGAGCTGACAGGTGTTACAAGACCGAGCTTTAAAGAATCCATGCTGTGAATCGCTCAGTAGCTTAAATTCTGTTAAGTGGCGCATGGCCTTATCTTTGATCAATGTCTCTAATATTTTCGAGACTGGGGGAAGTTGGTTTAATGGCCTGAAGTCATCGAATGACGAAGATTGACTATGCTTGGGAATAGGCAAAATGTGTGATTTCTTCAACGAAGTTGGATAGATTTCACTTTCAAGAGCCAGATTACATATCTTGCATAAGAAAGAAGGGCAAATCGTATTTACAGCGGCTCTTAAAATGCTAACTGGGACAGCATCATGTGCTGGGCTATGAGTATGACGAAAACGCCGAATCGCTACAGTCACGTCCCACGGGGCTAAAGTTATACTTTCGAGAACTGCCCCCCCCCCCCCTCAATGCCTGGGTAGTCAGATGCGGAGCGATCGAGTTTTTAATAAAGGTTTTGGACAGGAAAGCATTGAAATCATCAGCGGCCAACTGGTCACCAGCTATAGGATTCCCAAGAGCGTCTTGGAGGGTGGGATACTGCGTTTTTCTGAGTTTGTAATTTCCTTGAGAGAAGGTTCGAGACATTCATCGAACGGTTTTTGGTGAATCGGACTTCTTCAGCTAGCCGTTTTTCTTCGAACAGTCTCTTAGCCCGCTTAAAAATACCGTAAATCGAAGGCAGAACGGAAATAACGTTCTGAAGATGAAGTCGGTAAGAAAGTCTGCGCAAAATGCGGCGAAGTGTAAGGGAAGGAAAGCCGCATCCCTGACATTTATTTTTTTCTTACGGGGATAAAATGAGAAATAAGCGGATCCAAAATTTTGCACAGTTTATCAGTGCAGACATTTGCATCCGAACTTAGGAAGAAATCAGTCCACTATCCAGCATATTTTATTATTATTAATTTCTACGAAAGATCTATTGACCCCGTATCGAATTCTTGGCATCTGCCATTTCGGCCTTAGGCCACGTTTCCGTTATGTCAACGATATCGGGGTCTTGGGCAGGAACCAGCGTCTTGAGTTCGTCATTTTTCGACGCGAGACTTTGAGTAGTATTATTCAGAAATCTCAGTTTGCGTTAAGCGGTTTCAATATAGAGGCGTCTGCCAATTTTGTGGGATTGAGTGCAAAAGCCTGACGGTGCTGATCGAGATGAACTGGTGTCCATGGTAATAGCCCTTCGCCAGGGAAGCGGTCTTAAGGTATGTATATTATCCCCTTTTAGTATCTTAAGTTTGCTCCCGACCAGGCTGTAACTTCTGGTGAGTTTAACTTTGAGCCCTCCCCATTTTTCCCTCTCCGCGAATGAGAAATTCCACTGATAGGATAACTACTAGGTGGGTATTTCGGCGAGCGGATTTCCTGCTCCTCAGTAGCTGCACTTGTCCACCATTCTAAAAGACGATTTTTTAGCCCGACCCATGCTGTGAGTAGTTTTATCGGTCCATCTTGAAATACTTTGGTACGGCAACTTTATCGTCTTCTTGGCGGGCTTTTGAAATTGAGCCGCCATTTTTCGTTGTTTCCCTCCAGTCACATGAATATTTATTAATTGCATACCCCAGTCTTATTCCTTTGTTTTAATTTATCTATTCCTATGAGGTTGTCTTTACAGTACGCTAGCACCTTTTTAAAGGAGCTTAAACCCTGCGAAATTTCTGCATCGATTTTTCCGCCTCCTGATCATGACTCCAGTGGTTGCACTTTGCGGCCAATTTGTCGTTTCTGCGATTGTCTTGCGTTGGCGTTCTCACGCTCCCAAACGCAACGAACTCACCGTGCCAGCAGCAGTTACACTCTGACAACTTGTCCTGTTTCTCGTCCTTCCTCGCTGGCCTTCCCGCGCTCGTATCAGCAAAGGCCAGTTTTTCGAAAGCAACATCGCTGTGGATGGCAAGTTGCGCTTAAACGCCAGCCTAATAACAAGTTGTCAATCCCGGGTTTTCTTTCGACTAACTGTCGATCGATATTTAATAAAGCCCATGATTTGGAATTACTTCTGTCAACCAAAGAACATGGCAAAACAGGAGTAATTTGCCTTCAGGAGACGTGGTTGAATAGCCATATTGACTCGGAATTAATCACTCCTTCGACATTTTGCTGTTTTCGAAATGATAGAGCATCTCCAACAGGCAGTAGAGGTGGAGGAGTGGCCATTTTTGTCAAGCAAGACTGGTGTATAAATTGTAAGCCCCTGTTTTCATATTCTGATGATTTAATTGATGTAATTGCTGTTATCTGCAAGCCCCATTTGTTAAATAGCTTTAAGGGTATTATATTTGTCAGTATTTATATCCCCCCTTCCACAAATGAAGGCTCTCTGGGCCGTTTTTTTGACTTCCTCACACAAAAACTTGCTTCATCATCCTCAGACCATCTTATTCTTTTGTGCGGTGATTTTAACCGTGTGAGTTCTCGGCCCATTACCCTTCTGGGTTTTGATGACCTTGTTTCATTCAATACACGGGCTGATGCCCCTCTTGATCACATATTGACCAATTACCCAAAGCTTTTTTGTATTAAAAATAGAGCTCCACTCTCCGGGTCTGATCACTCAGTGCTACTAGGACTTCCAAAAGTCTATTCCACCTCTAAGCGTCAACTGCTTACAAAGCCCGAGAGGAAAATTACTGTTCGAGACACATCCGTAGATAAGATCCACTTATTGCAGAGTTCAATTACTAGTACCATCCCAACTTTTCTAGCACTACCAAATGCTGAATTATGCTCTAATTATCTTACGCTATTTTTGAATCACATTTTCGATATTTGTTGTCCCCGTGAAACTGTTATGGTCAGGCCTGACAGAATCTCCTCACCATACCTCAAACATTTGAGACGTCGCAAAGAAACCTTTTACAAACTAGGTCAGCGTGACAAGGTGAAGATATCAATGTTTTAGTAAAGA